TGCCCAAGGGATGATGGGCATTGTCGCCCAGCACACCCGCAGGGCCCCAGCTAGGGAAGCCTGCCGCACGGATCCGGCCTGAAAACAAAAATGCACCCACCCGGCAGAAGTGAATTTTCCCGCGTTTATATTATAGCTGAGTCCACGTCTAGGCAAGACAAAATGCTCCTTTCACTGCTCCTGCCTCCCCATACTGAGCGGGGGGCACTGCTGCGGAAGAGCCCGTGACTGAAGAGCAGGCGGTTCCAGAAAGGAAAGGGGAAAAGAAGCCTTTATTGCAAGGGGAAGGGGCTGGCTGTCCTTATATACAGCAGGAACACGCGGGCCGGACGCAAGCAGCTCCCCAACCGCGCCTGCTCCCACTCCCACTCCCACCGCCCAGCCGCCCTGCCGACAGCGCCCTGGTGGCACGGAGGGCAGAGTTGGGGAAAGGAGCTTCCGCGGACCAGAAGGGGCCCGGAGAATCGCAGTGCCGCCGCTGCCGCCACCTCCAGGCGGGAACAGCCGTGCCGGAAGCCCTCGGTCCGCCTGCGCAGCTGCTCAGTCACTGTCGCTGCTGTCACTGCTGGACTCCGAAGGGGCGTCGCTGGCGCTGGCCTCGCCTTCCTCGTCGTCCTCGTGGTTGGAGCGGTCGCTGCCGCTGAGAAAGGGGCTACGGCTGCCACGGTGGTGGTGGTGCTGCTGCTGCTGCCGCCGGCCCCCCCCCTCCTCGTCCTCCTCCCCGCTGCCGCTCTCCTCGTCCCCCTCTGGCCGGCCCCCGTCTGGCTCGGAGTCCTCCTCCTCCTCATCGTCATCGCTCCCAAAGATCTCCTCCTTGTCTCGCGCGGCCCGCTCGTCTTCCTCGCTCTCCTCGGCGGCGGCCCCCTCTCCCTCGCTGGGCGAGCGGCCTTCCTCCTCCTCTTCCTCCTCCTCCTCCTCGGCTTCGCTGGCCTCCTTCTCGCTCTCGCTTCCTTTCTCCGGCTCTTCATCTGAAGGGGGAGAGACAGCAAAGGCTCAGGGAGTTAAGGGAAGGCGAAGGGAGGACGGGGTGTTCTGAGGGGCGGGGAGGGACTGCCAAAGGAGCAGCGGGGCAGGCGGGGGTCTGGGAGAAGGAGCGGTTACCTGATCCTTGCGCCTCTTTACCCAAGTCCATCTCCTCCTCCTCTTCCTCCTCCTCAGGCTCGTGGTTCTCCAGTTGGGCTTTGCGGGCCTCCTGCAGAGGATACAAAAAATGCCCAAGTTGGACTCGCGGCACACGATCCCCCCCATCTTCCACAGGGAGAGCTCTTGGGCAGGGCCCCAGAGCCCCCCCGGCCCAGAGGTGGGCTCCCTCTGCCCACCAGGACACCCCGTCCTACCTGTGCCTCCAGCTCCTTCTCATTCATATCCCTGTGCTTCACCACCAGCACCGCGTTGGTGCCCGACTGAACCCCAGCCTTGGCTCGCCGTTTGCTGAGCCGCACTCTGCCAGGGAAGAAGCGCGTCAGAGACAGAAAGGAGGAAGCGGCCACCCCACCCTTGCCAGCATCTGGGCAGCATGTCAGTCCCCCCAACAACCTTTTATCTAAATGACCACAGCTGCAAAGGCCTGAGCTGACTTTTCGGACAATTCCCAACACCTCTCCCCCTTATTGGGGTTAAGCAGAACAAAAGACAGCCACAAGGAGAAAGATGGCATCTTTCTGGCAAACTAGGTGCTGGAACATCTCCAACAAGGAAACTCAGAAAACAGCCCATCAGCCTGGGGAGCACCAACCACACAGGCTTAGCACACAAAGGTCCCAGGAGCTCAAAGCAGCAGCATCTTCCAGCCCCTCCCTGTCCTGGCCCCAAACTCCTTCTCCTCACCTGGTTTCCAGTTCGTTGTAATAGACACCATCGCCCTCACGGAAGATGAAGAAATAATTTTCTTCATAGCCCTTGCTGGCCTTGTTCTTAACGTTCCAGTTGTATTCCCGGGCAATTTTGTATTCATACCTAACGGTGGATGGAAAAGAGAAAGATGAGCATTTCACAGCTGCTTGTGGAAAAAGCAATCTGGGAAAAATCAACTCCCCCCCCATCCATTGCCTAAATCAAGATTTATTTTCTTGCTTCTCCAAATCCCATAAGTGGGACAGAGCTATTTTGCAACAGCAAACCAATGCAGAAAGAGGCACGTACAAAATTTAAGAGCAGAATTCAGCAATCCATGCAAGTTAGTTTCTAACATTTCTATCCTCATTAATGAAGTAAAAAGCTAGAAAAAAGAAGAAATGTCTACCAACTCAGCCAACCCTATCGCTTGGCCTTAATCCATGGGTCTGAAAAGCCAAATTCAAACTAAGCCAGTTGAAAATGTAAGCTAAGTTGTATGCAGCTTGCTGACCCAAGTTTTCACCTATGGAAAGCAACACTAGAACCCAAACACAATGCCTTTCTGTGTTTCTTTCCATGTTGATTTTATCTTTAGCCTTGCTCGTATTCCTGCTTTCTTAATAAGACAATCCTTGACAACTGCAATCACATACACATCTTCGGGGGCATAATCCATCTCCTCCTCTTGGTCTCGTTTGCGTTTCCGCATTGTATCATCCACGGGAAGGAAGTAGGCCACAAACTGGTTGCCCTCTTCATCCATCATGCCCCTGGAGATGGAGGGAAAGGGGAAAAGCGTATAAACTCGCTGCTCTGAGCGGGACAGAGCTCCAGGCAGAACAGCCAGAGTGCTAAGCTTGATCTTCACCAGCACCACCAAATTAAAGGGGAAGACAGAAGGTTATGGGAGGAAAGTAGTTCTTTCTGCTTGAGACCTTAAAAAGCTGGGCTGGGCTCCACAGTCCAAAAAAGCCCGCATCTGAAGAAGTGCCAAGCGTCAAGACGCAAGACAAAACACGCTCGGCCGGGAAGCCTGCGCCGGCCTCCCCTCCCCGCTTTACAAATGAAACGTGGTAGCACCTAATCATGGCCTGAGACATCATCTCCAGAGCTGCTGCCCCGCTGGTGTCCTTGGGTGCTGGGTCAGAGTCAAAAATGACCTGAGCACAGGGGTTGATCCACATCTGGCAGGGAGGAGAAAAAGAACAGCAGCTCAGGACCCAGCAACACCTTCTTGCGATGTGCAGGCGGTGTGACCTGCTGATCTCTCACACCACCCAGCCTGACCCTTCCCTGCCACAACCTGCTTTCACCTTACCTTGAAGTCAGGAAAGACTGGCATAACTTCCATTGGAGTAACACGAGGCTTGCTGTAGTGCTGAGAAATCTAGGGGCAGAGGTTCCCATTAGGAGACACCCAAGACGAGGGAACACAACCCTTGCCGTGCCCTGAAAGCTGTAGCTGAATTTAGTCTGTGCCAAGCTCTCCCCTCCCCCCCCAAAACAGTGCATTTAAGCCATCAATACATGGAGAATAAATGTGACTCCAGCAACCATCCACAGTTTCTTTCTACACAGGCTCCTTCTCTAAAACTAAAAAAGGCAGAACAATGAGATGAAAACAGATTTTTGGGAAAAGAAAGAGGGAGGGCAGCTCACTGATTTCTGAGCATCCTCAAATGTCTTCTCAATGGCTGCGATTTGGCTGTCTCGGTCCTTGTAGATTTCCTCTTCTGTGAACTGTTGTTTGACAGACACGCCGATTCTAAGTGAAACAAGGGGGCAAGTTCAGAAAGGGAGTCTCACCACATGGAAGAGGAGCGTGGCTTCCTTGTGTTGGACTTGGTGAGAAAATTCCTTTTGAGCAAATACAAGAAGCCCCTCTCCAGAAACACATTCTCATCACAATTAACCTCACAACAGAGTACTTCTTTTCTAGCACAAAGCTGGACAGAAAAACAGAATTGTTTAACCCCACAAACATTTCTACTCACTTAACCTCTGGCTTCTCATTGGAGACACCGTAGCGGTTGAACTCTGTAGAGATATATTCTGTCTTCCGCATCCATGGCACAACTTTGGCATGCTGCTGTGATCTGGAGAAGAAAAACACCCCAAATCCACTTGGATTTCTCTTCCTCTCCAGAGCTGCCTCCCTCAAACCCACCTGGCTACACCTCCAATGGTTCTCAGCCAGCACAGGCTTTAAGGAGTGTCATCAAGATCCAGGAACACAAAACCCTCCACAGGCTGACTAGCAGCACAAAAAGGATAGGCCGTTTGCTCTCTTTACTTGATTTAAATAAGCTTCAGGATTCCTTGGCACAGAAGCACAATTTCTTTGAAAAATATCCCGTTCTAACTACTGCTCCTTATATAAAGTCAGTCCTGGCTCAACATTATTCCAAACCAAGTATCAGTCCCAAACACAAGTGCAATGTACAATCTGTGTTCTCTCAACAGCAGCTATATAGTCAGAGAGAGGGAGCGGAGCAGCACACAGCACATGGTGAGGCTGAGGGGAATCACGGAGCCTTTGAGGCAGACGTCGAGGCCAAGGGAGCTTATGAAAGATGGGACTGTCTTACAAAGAAGAAATCATTTAAATGAGCAATGTCATGCAGGACAACTGCAAGGAACTTTGAACAATCTCAGGTTGAGGTGGGAGACCGAGAGGCATCTGGAATAAGAAAAGGGCAGCAGTCCCAGGAGCAAAGCAGAAGGGTGCTGTGGTGTCTGAGTAATTACACAGAAGTGTGCGCGCTACCTTATCGAACTGGCTGGTGCCTGGATCTCCTCCTCCAGCAGCTTCTCCTCTTCCCGGTCCAGAAGAACTACAAGAAAACAAAGGGAGAAATAAACGGTCAGGAGCCGATCATC